TTTCTAGAATAAAATCAAATTAATGTCCTCGTCTGTCCTTCACTAACCCTGAGTGGTGTCCACAGACCATGCACTGAACTTGCTTACAGAATACTGAATATTATTAATACCATGCTGTTTTGTCATGATCCTCGTTTCCCTGCCGCTCCTGCCTAGCCCTCATTGTCAACATCACCACATCAGCTACGACCCTTATACATTCGTAAAAACAGCTAATCAAAGTCAGTCACACTACTCATAATCCATTTCCATCCAGGTCACGTGCTGTAGGCTTCTTCCACATGGCAACAACAATAATGTTGCTAAGTGTGCCCTGTACCTAGTCATCTGCTTCACCATGCATGTGCTTCTCTTGTTAAACTACAGTAAAACAGCTGTGTCCAGGTGTATACGCGATGGGAATGCTGTCATTATCCTGTGACCGGAAACTTCAATGGAGCCTCTAAAAACGTACAAAAATATGCCCATAACACGAACTGTTACTTTGTCATTGACTTCTGTTATGTAATTCTGTGGTGTCAAATATGTATCTCAAGCAGTTGTCCAGTCTGGAACTTGAACTATTCATGAGTTTCAGTTTCCTGTTATATGGAACATTTTGAAGACTGTTTCTCATTCAAAAGACATAATATTTAGTTTTAAATTGTTAACCATGACAGTAGTCTATACATTTTTCATGATTCTGAAACCCAAGGCTACACATATAGTTTAGTTTTAGTACCAATGATGGATACCTACCTCACAACAGCATTTTAGCTTATTTTCCCCTGAGGTGAAGTAAGTGTTTTGGCCCAGTTTCACAATAACCCTGAAGATTTCTCATTTCTGTAGAGAAACTGTTACAGATTGGCACAAAAAGCTAAAAGTACTTCCTGGTAATAGCATCACAAGCTGACCCTTTTGACCAAAAATGAATGAAATGAAAAACATGATCTATTTGATCCTCTACAAGATGACGCTATTAAATCTTAAAACACCATTATTTCAAAAGTATTTTTTCATATTCTGGCTGCTGCTTTGACATTCAGTGCATCACCAATACAAGCCAGGACTCAGCCCCCTCTCCTCCATGGGGCTGCTACTGATGGGGAGTTGTGCTTCATAAGCATTTAGCTGTGGATGCTGCCCGCCTGCCGGGTGCAGTAAAGACTTCCAGACAGCCCGCGTGGCTATAATTAAGCAACAGTAAAACACACACCTACCCCGGGTCTGTGTGAGCGCTCTAGATCAAAGAGAGGTGCCTTTTTCATCTGCCACCTCCAACCTCTGCCTTAGCTACTGCTCCATGTCCTGCTGTGCTCCCTTAAGGGGCTCAACTCATTTTATTTATTACAAACTCAATATCAAAACAGATTACAACCTCTTTCATCAATTATTCTAGCATTCCAACATTGAGAAAGCTAGATAGCAATCAACAAGTTAAAACTGCCTCATAACATTCAGTATTCCCCTGTGAGTCTTCTGATAACCAACAATGGCATCTTTTTTTCTTAGAATGAATCATCTTTGAAGTCCTTTGAAGTCAAAAACACTGTCATTTGACATAAAACAAACCCTATTTGAAAACACATGCCATTGTTTTATCCAGCTTTGCAGCCACACATTTTGAAGTACATTTCAATAGTGCGTGGATGTCTAAAAGGGAAAATATGTCTGAAATGGAAGTGTAGGCAGCAGAATAGGTCTTTTTCACTCACTCATTAGAACCACAGGCTGACCTTCTCTTGGCGTCTTGAAAATGACATCCTGCCACAACAGTATTTAGAAAGCAAAATGCTCACATCCTGTGTGGCCCCCTCATGTGCTTCAATCTCCTGCAAACAACAACTATAAATGTCTCTTGGAGCAGCTGAATCCTCCCTGATGATGAACTGCTTCCTCCTAGCCCAATAAAAGGAAGTGACCAAGGCCTCAGCTGAAAGCACTGTCCCCCAGATCTGATGCCCAGGAACTTTGTTTAGAAGGCACTCTTCATGACCATTGTCTTGTCATTGTCCTGAAAATTATTTTAGGAGTAAAGACATGTCGACCTGAACAGCATTTGATTTATTGTCAGTATGTCTCCACTGTTAGAATATATTTCATTAAACAATAGATCTAAATGGCCAATAGAACATTAGCCAAAAGCCACCAAGCGTACAAAGTAAAGATGAACAATGCTATGATGCTATAACAGATATACTGTTTAAAGTTGCACTATGTAACTTTTTTGTAGTGTAGTTTGCCATTAGCTTGTCTTCATAGAGATGTTAATGAGTTGCCTGGAATGTTCAGATTGTTGAGAACAGCCCACTCACAGTAATAAAAGCATGTTTAATTAAGCAGTAAAAATGTAATTGAATGCACGACAGATAAGTGCCAACCTGTGAACCATTTCTAGAAAAGCAACATTTCCATAGAGAAACAAGCAACTGACCTTCAATAAGAAATGTTATAGAGAGATTCTTTACATTTCTGAAACAGAAGACATGTAAAAAAAAATAATCAAAAGTATTGGTTAAATACTAGTAGCTACCACAGAATTTAATTGCACTGTTGAACCACTGCATATTTCCACAGTAATTTGGCAGTTTGTGCCCTGGATGCCCTTCCTGTCCCAATCAGACACACACGCACATGACTGACGCACTCCTGGTGAAATGTCCTTGCACAGACACAAATGCATTCCTGAACAGCAGCGTTTTATCTTTTAAAATGTCAAACGGTGGAGTTCTGTTTTGTAAGGCCATTTTTTTTTTTTTTTTTTATTTTTATTAGAAGTCTGCCTGCATGTCACATACTTTCAACAGTATTTAACATGTGAACTACAGTAAAACCAGTTGCACTGAATCAAATCAAAATCACAGCTTGAGTGGACACAGTTAGCAAAGCACAAGGGCTGGAATTTTTGAAGTACCATAAATTCCTCTACAAACAAGAAAATATCCTGTCTTACAAAACTGGTAACCCTGTAGTTTAGATCTGTACAAACATGTTCTGAAATGTGATTCTGGGATTAGTGGAGTGAAACATGACAGAAGAAAGTGAAGTCTTGTGGACTGCCTTTGAGCTATTGACCAAACTTAATAGGGACCACACTGGTTCAGCCCTGGAGCTGCTCACTGTTGGATGCCATAGATGTTCCAATCCCTGAGACCACCATAACCATCCCCTCCCCATGTGTCTCTCTACATGGGCCCAGAGAGTTGCATAGGTTCACAGGTACTACGGTAATACTGCAGCAGGGACAACTGGGTCAAATTCAAGTTTACAGAGCCAATTTTGGGAAAGATGGAATTCAAACTGTGTTTTTTTTTTTCAATAAAAAGTAAATATTATGATTTATTCACAAAAGACATGTCTCTGTTGGAAGGGAGTCATTTTAAAGTAATATTTTTTCGGTGTAATTTGCAAAAGCTTTACAAAGTTTATTTAGTCATTTCCTTTTCCCAAGCATCTGTTTGCAGTATGAATGATTCTTCCAAATATCACATCCAACTATTTCTGAAAGTTGTCATTTGCCCAAGTTGCCCGTTCTGACAAGTTAGGAACCATTTACAGTTTTATATTAGATTGTCTTGATAAAAACATGTCAAACTTTTAATCATTGCCATTTAACATAACAAATTGTTCAATTTCTCCCAGCACTCTGCCTCAAATCATAGACTTTTACAGAAATAGGACTGCCAGTGTCGATAAAAAGACCCAAATATATCTAGATTTATAAAGACATATTGTGACTCAAGACGATTTGACATGACTGAATCTCAGTCTCCATTAAGATTTAATTCATTGCCAGACCCAATAAATAACGCAAAGGGTGAATTTTAAGTCAAGTCAGTTATAGGCCTGTCACGATAATTACTATATTAACTTATCTTTCAATATATAATACCTGGAACATTATATTTTAGCACTCAGTATTTATCATGTGTGCAATTTCTTTGTAAAAGTAAGGAAATTAGGGATATTTTGTTGTAACACAATAAGATCTGAGCTGTAGGGGGTTGAATAACTAACTTCTTTATCTAATTATTGGTTCAATCTGCTCTTTATATGATGCAGCTCAGGCCTTTTGAAGGATATTTAAAATGGTGTACTGGGATTATCTTGCTTTTTGTTATTGTGTCAGTGGGTTAAAGTAGTTTCAATATTATTGTTTATCGCAGTATATCACTGTAGTAATATATCACTCTTTAAATGTGTTATTGTTACAAGCCTAGTCAAGTTTTCTTCTTCAGAGTGATCATCTTTTGCTTTTGTAACATAACCCAACAGCACATTTTGAGTTTGCATTGGATTGCACAACGGAGCATTACTTAGTTTCATGGGTGGGATGAGACACTATTTCCAGATGAGATGAAATACAAGAATGGGTCCATGAAAATGAGACAAGATGAGATACAAACATAATTCTACTAATAAATATAGTAATAAATAATAATAATATAAATTTGATTATTCACTTTCCAATTTTGGCTTCATATTTTTTGTTTCCGTTCTAGTTCTGCTTTTTGGAACAGTAAAATGTCACTCACCAAGAGGTAACATGCAATTTTGTCTGGTGAAACCTTGTGGCATGAGATCTTGAACCATCTCTACTTAGTTTCCTCCTTTCTAAGATGAATCTGAGTTGGCTTTTGGAGCACATTTGGCTCAGGTCAGTCCCTTATTACTGTTGAAGTGTTTTATGAGGGGTAATGGGGGGGACCAGTGCGGACACTTTTGTATCACACAATAGCGACTAATGTTTTATGTTGGGAAGAGGTTTGGGTGAAGACATTGCACTGGTCAGATCCAATGAATGACCACTCACCCGTGACAAAAAGCTCTTCAACCTGTCAGCCTAAAGAATATTTAAGTGACAAAGTGCTATAAAAATGCCGATTGCTGACGTAAAACCTGGTCTGAGACAAAATTTACAACAACTAAAAAACATTAGTTGTGAGGTCACGGCACTTGAAATGAAAAGATTTGAAAAAAAAAAGAAGAATGTAAAGAAAATAGCAACATGCACTCACCAATCCATCGCAGTTGTTAATGGCAACTGAGGCTCCGGGGACGTCGGTGATGTCGCCTACGAATGTGCAGTCCGTCTTCAGTAGTTCCCGGTGGAGCTCAGTTTGGTTCGCGGTGGGCTCCAAATCTGTTGTCAAGTTCCCCACATCCTCTTCTTCGTGCCACTCCAGCACGGCTCCCGGAGCGACCAGGCGGTTGTTAGGCCGGAGGCGCAAGTGAAACTCTTTCCCAAAGGCAGAAATATTGAAGAAAATGTTCTGTTCTGTTTCAGTAGTGTCCCTCTTGTATCGCTGTTTGTGAGTGGAAGACAGTAGGTGGGAGAGGTAGTGTCCGTGAGAGTCTGTGCTAAACGGAGTTACAAGGCCATATTCCTTCAGCCGTTTCTTCAGTTGGTCTGCGAAATAGCAAAGGTATAGTGAAATTAGAGTGTACGTAAACAATAGCTTTCAAGTGAAACTAAATCTGAAGAGTTAGTACAATATAATACATACAATTATGGTTGAGCAATATGGCAAAAAAGATCACTTCTTTTCCTCATTTTGATCAATTGTTACTTCCTCCTTTTAACAAAAATTAAGTGTAAAAATTAAACATCTCTGTGTGTTGTTCAACTAAATCAGGATAATTTTGCAAAGAATTATCTGTTTACTCTCAAAATGTTAATATAACTCTTGATTTCAGGGTTAAACAGGCATTCTGGTCCAGTGTTACTTAATTAACAGTTCCGAAAATGTTAAATTAACTCTAAAACAAATTGGACTCCTATAAACCCTGAGAAAGTGTTAAAATTGATTCTATGAGTATCTATCAGTATTGCACTCCACTTTTTGCTTGCTTCCTAAAATCATGATTTTGCAGAGGAGGACAGGGGAATGGCAATAGACCTTTCAATTTAAAAAAAAACTCATACATATTGATGACAATTAGGCAGAACTGAATCTCAGTTTCAATTAAAATTTAATTAACTGACCAGCCCTAGTAGAATACAAATACCCACATGACACACATCTCTCCCTAGACTTACAGCCTATAACAAGGTGTGGTTTAGTGGTATGCCTATCAACTGAACATGCTAGTGTTATTTTTTTATTTATTTTTTTCTCTCTCATTTTGAGATATTACATTTAAAAAAAAAAAACTCCCATAACACCACTCCTCTCTCCAGACTAGACAAAATTATACAAAAAAACAAACACCAGTTGTCACTCAGGTCCAATTCTGTGCAAGTGTTGAGTTTTAATTCACTAATCAATACATTGATGAACAACCTGCCAGGCACTGTTGTAGCTCTACAATTTTTGCTATTGAGAGTTACTGTGTAGATAACAGCAAATACAGATAAGAGATAGGACTGCAGCTGGGACCTGTTTTCCATTGTTATGGCATCTGATTCTATTTTACACAATTTACAACATAGATTGGGTCCTGCCAAATTGCTGCTCCAATAGTTTAACATGGTACTTGGGCTACTCTGCAGTCTATAGACATGTATTAGTTTGGGCTTCAGAGGATTATCTCTGCTTCTGTGTGTCAACAATGTGATTAGCTGATGATTGTCCAGTCTGTGCAGTGCATCACGCCTGCAGCAGCCGACAAGAATAGATTTAGGCCCTTGTCTTGCCATGAAGACAAATGTGAGATAAAATTAAAGGTCCTATATTACACAAAATTGACTTGTGTGTTGTAACCCTTTATCATTAGTCTGTCTACATCTCCAAAGTGCTCTGTTCTACCTTTTCATGTGAAGAAGTGATTGTTTTTGAGTTAACAGCTACCTTTTACCTTTTGTTCAGTGGAGATTGGTAATTTCAAGGCTGAAATTATCGTGTATGGAGTTTAAAAAGACAATGGAGCACTTCCTGTATTACCATATGACATCACAAGGTGGAGTGTTTTCCGGCTGTATTCTTTTCCGACAAAAGATGGAGGGTTTGTGTGTTGTGAAACAAAACTCTTCTGGTGAGGAAACAACATTATAACACAGATCAGAAAATAATAATGTGGGCTCATTAATTAATGTTTCAAGATTCCTTTGTTTTCTGTGTATTAAATAATGACATGCTGTTTATTTGGTTTTGGGTTGAAATTAATGAGAGCTACCAAAGTGTACAGATGTGTTTGTGTTTCTGAGAATTGCGTTCAATCTATCACAACGCATTTCTGGTGTAGAGTCTCTGCTACCTATATGTTTCCATTGAGATGTTAGATGCATTGCCTGGAATGTTCCTGTAATGATATCTGTAATTGAATAGTTGCAATAGAGATACGTTTTATGCTACACTGTGGAACATTCCAGGCAAAGCAGTAACATTTCCATGGAGACAAATAGGTGATCGACCCTAAACTAGCAAAGTTACAAAGTGCACCTTTAAACCAGAAATAGTAAATTGGAAGGACTAAAAGCATTGGCAGTGTCAAGCCAGCTTCAGTGCTCCCATAAGGGCATTTATAGGAGTCTAGTCTACAATACACCTGTGTGCACTTGAAAATCCCATCCCATCTCTATACCATGATCCAAAGTAAGTGCAATAGAAAGTGGTCATGGCATGCTCATTCTTCCTAACTGCATGAACTACAGATCATCTGTGGTCAAACCAAATGTACAAGGAAATCCATGGGGCTTCAGATATTTTCCGGAATTGGTTTTCTTTCCATGCTGTTTAAAATACCAGAGATGGTTGAAATGCATTGGTTACAAGACTTTAAAAGCATGTCATTTTCCTGTTGATTTTCAAAATTCAAACAGGTGTCAATAGTGAAATTACAAGTCAGAGGAAATTACATGGTTTTAAAATCACAATGTGCATACAGCGAACACGTGAGGTAAAAAATGTGCTTTGGTAATGCTTCTGAGACAAGCCCTCTATTCAAGCAGCACCCACACTGAACAAGTGGGGACACCATTTATAAGGTAAATAAAAACAGCATGCAAAGGTCTGCTCATTTCTTCGACCATATCCTCTCACAATAAAAGGTTAGTCATAAAGTGTTCCAACTAGATGAAAAACTCATTTGCAATTTTATGAGAACAAGGGAACAAAGGCTATGAATATTTTGTAACATTTGACGTAGTTATTTGGACAATAATTTGACTGTGGTTTAGATTTACATTTCAAAAAGTTTTGTTCTCCTTATTAACTGAATTTTCTGAATGTAAGTGTAATAAATAAGCAATGATTTATTAAAATATCTTTGGGTGCAGTGCACAAAATGAGATTACACAGCTCCCTTACAGGTTAGTAGTAAAACAGGACTGTGGATGTCTAAAAATAATGGATATTATTTTTCCTCAAATACACTTGGTAATCAGTGAACTTTATAAACAGTAACTGAGTTTGTAGTTATTTCAAATGGACTCTACATACTGGTCCAAAGACGCTGACAAAGCTATGAGCAGCTCTGGAATCTATATTATTGGTATCTGCATTGGATATACATACTACATATTGTGATTACATAACAATTCGCAGATCATGGAAGACACATTTCATTTGACGCTGTACAGTATCTGAATGTTAATATTTTCTACTATTCAGAATATCTGCCATACTTTTTGCAGTTGATAATTTGCAAATAATTATGTCTACTGCTTTCTACAAAATAAACCCAGAAAGGTGTCAAATGTGTCATCCTTGAAGTTGTGCAAAAAAGACTGACGTGCATTCACAGTGGGAGCCCAACTTTGAGAGATTGTACAACACGTAAGAATGATGTAATTTTAGATAAGCATGTATTACAAAGGTCTACAGTAGCTCCCCACAGGGAGAAGAGAGGGAAAAGGTGCTGTGTGACAAATCATTAAAGCCAAAAGAAGAAGAGCAGGCCTGAGTGAGTAGCTTTAGTGTAAACGCAGGGCTTTGGGCGCCTAATCCTCAAGGGGCCCCATCCATGACTAATCTTAAAGAGCCATTCTGCAGTTCACTACAGAAACATAGAAGGTATCTCTGTGGTATGGTATATGATTTGACCTAAAAAAAATCTTGGTAATTTGTATGGAGTTTATTTAAAAGTGCAATGTGTAACTTTTCTGGTCGAGGATGTACCAACTGCTTCTCTATATCTATTATTCAATTACAGGTGTTTTATTGGTAAAAATATGTTGGAAATGTGCATTCTCACAGTAACTTGGCCCGTGTGTTCACTGCTTGTCTCTGTGGAGATCGATACTATACTGTGGAACATTCCAAGTAATAAGCTTTGGAGACATGATTACATAAGTTACATAATATACCTTTAAATCTAGAATAAACTAAACAAATTTAAGTAAAGTTAAAGTGTCTCATATTTTAATAGTAAGACGTAGTAGCACTGCAAAAAACCTACTCTCTCACATGTCAGAGGCATACAGACGGAAGGTAAGTTAAGTGCCTTGCCCAAGGATACAAAAACAGAGCAGTCACACTATCAGCCTTCAGGTACATGGGGGAAGCTCTAACTATTGAACAATTAACATTTAACAATTCTTCTTTTACATGAGTATTGCAAATAATAAAATAAAAAGAAATTCATCAAAAATACCACCAAAGCAACAGGATGTTAGCAGATGTAAAGTGATTGATGTAAGCTGTGACCCATAAAAACGAATTCATGCATATGTGTAAAACTGCAACAAACAAAAAGTCACAATATCCGATAATACACAGAAAGTGTTAATGAAGTGACCAAAATAGGGGAAGAAGTAGCTGAACTGCTGTGAAAAAGGTGGGGTATGTGAAAGTAGATGTCAGAATATGTGTGGAGGCATGAAGTGATGAAGTTTGCTTGTACTGTATATAGGTCTATTTATTTTAGACATTTTTTTATGTTTGCTTGACTTTGGACTGAAGTTCTGCTTCAGATTCACAGGGGTAAGAAACTTATTTTGAGTAAAGAATAGAAGTGCAGTTGATTTTTTTCTTATATCTTCAGCTGAGTGAGTTAAGTAAGAAAGAAACAACATTGGACGAAGACTTATCTGAGTGACTGCTGGGTGTTTGAGAGGCAGCTGCACTCTCTGCCTCTTGATGGTGGTTAGACATTCTTTGTACATAAATTCCAAGAAATCTTTTATTTATAAACATGGAAGAGCAATCTGTATCTTGTACGCTATAAAAAGAGCAGGGGAAGATACTGTAGAACGTCTACTTTGTCCAGAGTGGCTATACACTTGATTGATCTATAAATGAGAGTGAAAGAATACATACAATGATTATAAAGAAGCAAGCATAATGGAAATGGTGGGCTTAAAAGAGGTCTGACAGATAGTTACAGATGTGTTGGCAATTTCACTGTCTAAAGGGGACATATAGGGGAGTGGTTGGGTTGTCTCAGCTTTCTGAGTCATGTGTAAAAGCCCATTGAACTGTAAAGCATATAATAATGCATACTCTCTCTACATTCTCAACACAAGTCATTTCATCATAATAGAGCAGTTCATTTGTGAAACCCCAAAAGGACCATGGCTGAAATGAGATTTGGCCCTCAACAAAATGAACCCCAGTCTACTGTAGTTTGGGGAGAGCTAGCACGATGCATTAATCTCTCAGGGTTTAGACAATATACAATGAACAACTGGTACTAGAAACACCTGAAGAGTCATTTCTTCTACCTTGCAGAAGGAATTTCAATATTGGTGGTGCTATTGAAAATTTGAGTGGATTGGATATCGGCTTTCAAGATATCGGTTCAACCAATATCCCATTTTGGTGTATAAATTGATGTAATAAGATGATTTACTGGACATTAAGGCCCAAATATCTCAGCACATTAAACAAGTGCTTCCCTACCTTGCAGTGATGAAGACATTATTGTTGTCATGATACTAATATTTCAAACTCTTTTTGATTGTATGACAGTATGACAATAAATTTATACTGTATCTGTGGAACTGTGGAACCCTGCAGGTAACGCAATAACATCCAGATGGAGACAAGCAAGTAGCAGAACCTCCACCAGAAAAGTTAAGTTAGTACCCCTTTAGTATTAACAGGTGGTCTATAAAGTTCTGACATAGACCAAGATCTTTCTAAAGGACTGTTCAGGGAAGGTCAATGTGATTTTTTTCAGTACTGATACTGGTTCAAGAGTATCTAGTTTAAATATTACTTTTAGGTTTGACTGGCATGTGAGAATTACTCATTTTGACAGAACTATACCAGATATGGTGCCTTTACTCTAAAGCAAATGTATCAATAATTCTATTACATAAAAATGACAAATTAATTAAAATAAATATTTTAAATACTCTAGTAATCTAATCTAAAGACAGTATTCACACAACAATGTGCAGTGCTCTAAATATAGTTTACAGCCACAGCCAGGTTGATCCTCAGGATGTGGCAGGCTGAGGTGCTTGGCCTTCAATGTGTCCATTGGATAATGTCGTGAGTAAAAGAGATGCTACGTGAGGACTTGAGCTGCTGTCTTGTGTCTGCAGTACAATAGGGACCAGATGTGTTAGATTTAGCCGAGAGCCCGTCTTTCCTGTGGTACAAAGCTCTTGATGCACTTCACTCATGTAATAGAACTGTGTGTATGTGTGTTTGTGGAGGGGAAGAGAGCTAGGAGGAGAGACAGGGCCAGCGCAAACTCTCCTCCCACTTTGATCTGAGTGAGCACCCAAGCTGTCCTCTTTAGTTTCCAAACGCAGAGGGGAAAATCTCTAACAAGGCACGGCACTGAATACGTGTAAAGAATAATTAAACAGAACTTACCCTCTCTATCTACTTCACCAGCCTGCAAAAGAGGAAGAAGAAGCGCGTTAAGCACGTTGCAAGCTTATTTGATGGCAGTAACATTAACGTTATGCTGTATAGTCTGTGAGGCGAGCTGGTGATGTGCAGCGCCTAGTCATCTGGATACGCACAGAAGCTTACAAAATGTCTCTTTTCGCGTCTTATGTAACGGGCCAAAAAGGCTTCAGTCATACGTGTGCGGTGTCAACACGCATTTGGGAAACCGCTGAGGCACAAATCAAGTTAAACGTGTCAAGTGAACGTAAACCCGGTGCCGCGTCGGCCCGTTATTCTCTTAATAGTGTTCTCAACGCGTAAAGAAAAAGACTTAGAGAGACCCTTACCTTGGCAGCTGTAGTCAGACTAAATCCTAAAAGTAGAAACACTAATGACAGGATAGCCATCACGAGTTTTATTCTTTTAGAGGAAAACTGTATCCCAACGTCAAATATAAAATCAAGAAAAAGTTAACCAGGGAGAAGCGCTCTGTACGCAAGCGTGACCCGGTTCATTCAAAAAAAGATTTCCAACTTCAAAGTGGATGTGCACAGTGCCCCTGTGTAGTCTCCAAACGACCGAACCGCTTAAGGTATGATTCAGGAGGCAACCAGGCGTCACTTTGACACGCGGGACTTTGGTTCATAGAGTTGCTACTTTAAGGTAAGTCAGTCAGTCCCAGTCATCCCCTCTCTGCCGCCGCCGGACAGAGCTGCAGTGTGGAGCTCGTGAAACCTGGCACTAGGCTGCCCTGTCTAATAAAGTGCAAGACCAGCCCTGCGTGACGTCACACTGGCCCTTTTCCGAAGTTTGCAGAAGTTGGTGGGACAGGAGGAGAAGAGGGGAGGAGGAGGCGAGGCGAGGGGAGGAGGAGGAGGACCCAGGCCCACTGGACGAGCAGCTCTCAGTTCTTAACGGCGCACTGTCCAGTTGGGTTTCAGGATGGTACAGTGGCGTTGTCTCTCTTCTACTATTGACACATCTGTCTGTCCTTGAATGACAGCCATAATTGCAACGTAAGATGTACCACTCCTAGTCATTACACAAGTCTAACATTTTGAATGAATTTAAAGGAATTTAAAGGGATGTTCTCTGTGTCTAATGTGGTGACCTCCTGAAACTGAAGAAAAATGTGGACATATTGTTGGATGTGGTGGTACATGGAAACTCATACACAGGCTAATAACGACAATAACACTTTATGATTTTCATTAATAGTTACGCACAGAGATTGCAGCAACAGGAATAGAAATGTGCAGTAAATTGTCGTTGCTCACCTGGAATACAAGAGCCATTCACCTCAGTTAGGACATGCAAAGACCCCGGTTTCTCTGCGTGTCTCCTGATTAAAAATGTATTTTCTTTTACACACAAAACAAACAAACAAATAAAAAAATAAAAATTAATAATAATAATAACAATAATAATAATAATAATAATAATAATAATAATAATGATGTTTGCTAACGTTATTAAAGGTGCATTGTGTGACTTTTTCTGGTGGGTTTGTTGCTTTTCATGGAAATGTTATTCCTTTGTCTGAAATGTTTCGCAGTATGGTATTAAACCTTTTATGGAGATCAAACCAGACCAAGTTACAGGTCAAATCTTTTTCTTTTTTTTCCCCCCCCTAAAGGTATTTTTGAGATATAAAACCACCTGTAACTGAATAAATGTAAGTCAGAGCTATTTAAAGTCATACTGACAAACATTCCAGGCAAAGTAATGAGTAAAAATATCCCTAGAAACAAACAGGAGACAGACCCTCCACCAGAAAAGTTACACAGTGCACCTTTAAAGGGATAGTTCAGGATTTTTGACATAAATCTGTATGGCATCCCCGTGAGCAGTGTCGTGCATCCACACTGACTTACCCCCAGCAGCATCCGGTGAGCTGAGATACTGGCCGTTTTCGATGCTGACAAAAGTAGTCTGGCAAGTTGGCTGGGGACAGTAAAATAAAGTGTTTTTCTTCTCAAAACTACATGTGTTCAAAAGAGTGATACAACTGCATTACAAAACCATCAACCTCAAAAAAGTCAAACCTCATAATCGCTTGGCACTATTTTCTGCTGCCGCCAGGTGACAGCCGTGCACGGATCCATCACTTTCTTCAGTTGTTCGGCAGTGTTTTCATGCACAGACTGCAGCGATGTGAGAGAGCTAACATTAGAGCTAGAGTGATAAGTATCTAAGCTTGTATAAGATACATAAGAATATATCTAAAAAATGGTGTGGGCACTTAATTATCCAGTCTGTAACAACAAAAATCTGGCTGAATCTTCACACACATTTCACTGTTTTCCTGTCACAGACATTGCGCTGAGGAAACTTTGGCTTCTTGCCTTAGGCTTCAATGTGGAAACCAAACCAGGTAAGAACAAAGAGGTGCCGCTATGTTTACAAGCAGACAGGCTCAAGAATCAGCTGTAACGCTGTGTGCCGCAAATCACTCAGTGTCATATCACCAGTGAAGCTTCTACAAAATGTAACTTTATAAGTCGACTGTTATTACTACTGTAAATGTCGCGTACACTATTGGCAACAGCTACATGGACATGTGGATGATTCCATGTTTCTATTAGTAGTCCATGCTTCAGTCACAGTGTAGGCTATATGTTAGCTGTATACGAGTTTGTAAATAACGTGATGGGTGATTGTCGCTGACCCGGTCTCTCACGGCTCCAGCTGTGGCTCCAGCTTCAACTTGAACCACTTCTCTGTCTTTCTTCTTTCTCTCTCTGCCCATTCTAACTCCATCGGGCGAATTTCGGCGTCAGTATATTCGGGTTCATAACGATCTCCCCTTGGCTTTGTAGTAAAGGCAAAGTCTTTATTGTCGGTGTCGTAATCAGACATGTTGTCGCTAACATTCCGAGCAGTAAACAAAGTGAACCAGGCGCGGCTGTCACCTGGCGGCAGCGCGCAGTGATACGAACAGAAAGAAAATAGTGCCAAGCGATTATGAGGTTTGACTTTTTTGAGGTTGATGGTTTTGTGATACAATTGTATCACTCTTTTGAACACATGTTGTTTTGAGAAGAAAAACACTTTATTTTACTGTCCCCAGCCAACTTGCCGGACTATTTTCGTCAGCACCGAAAACGGCCAGTATCTCAACTCACCTGACGCTGTCGGGGGTAAGTCAGTGTGGATGCACGACACTGCTCACGGAGATGCCATACAGATTTATGTAAAAAATCCCAAACTATCCCTTTAACACATTCCTATTACTACTGGTCTCACAGTTGTGTATAGGCTACTTCCCTTGGTAGGCTGATTTTAGTGTCAGAATAAATGGTGATGATGTCTCCCTTTAGGGCCAAAACACAAGTGAAGTGGTGGGTGTGCTTTAAGAGGCCACGATTCTGCCACTAGCTGGACACAGGAGGGTTGGAGCAGAAACTAGAGAATGATTTATATGAAAGACTTGAACATCTTTGCCCCATGTCGAGTCTCATTTAAATTTACAACTGCAGCATCTTTAGGATTGCTGTCTCTGCAAGTGCTGCCTCAGCTTTGACTGCCTGATTTACAATAATGCATATATTAATTCAGTTCATTTGCTCTGCTTTTCATTGCCCAAAATGTGCAGCCTAAAGCCACTTGTTGCTGATAGTCTTACATAATCAGTGGTTTAAGAAGATACCGGATACCTTTATTCAAGTAAGTAAAAGTATCACATGAAAAAAGTAAAAAGCACTAAAATACCAATTTTTTTAAAAGTTAACTGTAAAAAATATTTCGCACAGATTTTGGAATCTAATAAAATTTAAAATGTATTAACAGACACAACTGACTCAATTGTTTTTTCCTAGTTATTTTTATTTGTATTTTTTTGTTTGCTCAAACTACAAATGTGTTAAAATAACCTCCACAGCTTTTCAGTAGGTCTCAAACAATAATAAAAAGTATATTGAAAGAATATTGGAAGACCAAATGAATCTCATTGGACTAATAATAAAAAGTATTTTTATTTTATAGCCCGGTAGTGGACTAGAAAGTACAAGTACAATTATTACTATTGCGGTGGTTGTATTCCCCATATACTGAACATCTGTGTCATAATTCTGCATTAATATTCATAAATATTCAATCATCTGAATTTGTTTCCCATGAATGATTTTTGAAAGCAGAGTTCCCCACAGAGCTTAAGAGCAGTGCAGTGAAACATGGAGCAACGGAGGCAGCAGTCACAATCACGTTCACTGTTCTGTGCCTCATTACAGACAGTACCATCGACTCCCTCCTCCTGTCTCTCACCGCTCCCTCTCAATAAACGCCTGGGGCTAAGACAGGAGACTGCTGGGACATTTGCATATTAATGTATAGACAAACAAGTATTCACTGTTTGGAGGGAAACATCAGGCTGAATCTTGTCGAGAGCAGAATAGCCGAAATATAAAATTATTGGAATCACATTGCATGAATGGGACAGAAAACTTTGTGAAAGGGAGTGCATAAAGGTCCATAGCACTGTAAAGCACTCTAAAAGTAATTTCTACAAAGTTAAAGGTGCACTATGTAACTTTTTGGTTGGGGGTCTGTCACCTGCTTGTTTCTATGGAGATGTCATTTGTCTCTGCCTGGCATTTTCCACAGTTTGACATTCAACTGTACCTCACATATATTCAGTTACAGGTGATTTTATAGCTCAAAAATATGTAGAGAAAAGTATTCTGACTGTAAGTGGGGCTGCTTCTCCACAGATCTGACCTGTAACTTTGTCTGGTTGGGTCTCCGTGAAGACAGAAAAGTTTAGTAGAGGAGAAATGGAGACAAGCATTTGATGTATAACTTTTCAGGTGCAGGTGTCCAAGGTTAAAAGAGTAAAGAAGGTTTTAATATTTAAAAAAAAAAAAGTGAACTGACTGTCTTATAAAATGAATTCTTTCTGTAACACTTTGCTCGCCTGATGTTCATTTAGCTTCGGAGATATATTGGGAAGATTCAATTAGGATACATCTATTACTTTTGGTTGGACAGGAAGATGTATGTTCTAATTACAAGTCATTATAAATCGAGTTCGGAACCACAGTACAAAATATGCTCTTGCTTGGTCCCCCCCCTTGTGGGAACATTTATATTATCCAAAATAGCGTGATTAATTAGCTGAAGCATTTTCTCACTTGCCAGCTTAATTGTAAACACGTTGCTTGAGTAGATGTGCCGTATTGTTGATGAGAAACATGATCTGTCACCTCTTATTGAGAGTGTCAGCTACTATGGGCTGTGCAATGAATTATACAAACCACTTCAGCGTGAGTTTGTTTTTTTACTGCCAGAAATATGTCAGACCCATAGACTGTATATATGAATGGACATAGTTAACCGCCAAATAGAAAGTGAGCGTGGGGACACTTCCGGCTCCATTGACCCTGGCTCCTAATGACTTTACATTGAAATG